GCCCGGGCCCCAAAATCCGCGGGGGGGGGGTGGGAGCGAGTGGCGGGGCATGGGAGGCTGGAGGCACCCAGAAGGACAGCCCAGCAAACCCCCTGCTGGAATAGCACCCAGGGGAAGGGGCTGCTTCCCAAAGAGACGTAGCGCCCGCCGAGGGGAGGAAGCCTTTTTCTTTCCCAAAGTGAAGTTTGTCCGCGTTGCGCGAATGCGGGCGATACCTGGGGGGCTTGATGGGGGTCGGCCCTGGGACCTTCCCCGCAGCCGATCGCCCCTCGCTCGGTGAGAGCTCGGAGAGCTGCCGCGGGAGAGAAAGAGCAAGAGGGTTCAAGTTCGGCAGCCAAAATGGTGCTGGGAACGCAACCTTTGAGGTGCTGCCGAAGGGCAGAGCTGCCCGGGGCTGCAGGTGGGAGAAATCCCCATCCCACGCCCGTGGCAGAGGGCGAATAACCCACGGGAGCATTCCCAGAGGGAGACGGCGTCCAAGGGCTGCGCCCCCGCAGCGACGGAGAGGGGTCGGGGTGACCCCCAGGCTCCAAGCTCGGCGGCACCATTTGGCGGCCAAGGAATAGTGGGTTGGGTGGGGGATTTTTTTAAAGACTTTGGTTACAAATATTAAATGGACCATCTCAGAGACACAAGACTCCTGCCGCGCCGTCCCGCCAGGGCCGAAGAGATAAGAAATCCATGCGAGGGGGCAAAAATCCAAAAAATCCATGCTTCTCCCTGAGGTATTGCAGGGAGAAGAGGGGGGAGCAGCACAAACCATTGGCAGCCACGCACCTCTGGCTCCACCAAAGCCGACCCGGCTGGATCCGGCCCTGGGGAGCCGGCAGGAGCTGGGCACGCACCCTCGGCTTCACCCTGCAAACAAAGGGCAAACCCAAGGGCTTAAAAAAATGTCCCCAGAAGGCAAATAAAAGCTTTGTGCAGTATGGGCTGTTCAAACAGTCTGGGCTTCTGGGTGGACTGGTTGAAAGATTGGCTTAAAAATCGCGTGGGCTCAGGAG